ACCCTCCTTCACGATTCAGGTGCCTAGCCACTTGCCTGTCTACCCAGTCTTTCATTGCTCCAAACTGGCTCTCTACACGCCAGCGGATCATGACGACTTTCCCGGGAAACGGACGCAAGACCCACCTTCTATGGATGGTTTTCAGGAGGTCGGCGACATCATCTCCCAGCGACGCTTTGGCAACAAGCCAACTGAGTATTTGGTGCATTTTGCCTACTGCACACATCGAGCTGACCGTTGGTTAACCCGTGCGGAACTGCAAGCAACAGCTTCAGACGTTCTCGCACGCTACGAACACAAGATGCAGGGCAAGCCGGTTTCTTCGGCTCCACACCTCGCCCGCGTCCAGGTTCCACCTTCAGATCCACGGCTTCGCCCTCACCCCGGCTTGACTTCATAAGGAGGGGGGGGTGTTACATGCAGCGCATGCACACACGGGCCATTTTGCAGGCCCGACGGCCATTTTGGAGGCCCGACAGCGTTCAGGCCAAAAGCCTGAACTTCAGGCCGAAAGCCTGAATTTCAGGCTGAAAGCCTGAAATCCAGGGCTTACAGGCCCCCTGTCGGTTCAGGCCAAAAGCCTGAAGTCCAGGGCCTATCCCTGGTAGTTTCAGACTAAAAATGGCAACAGCCTTTTTAGCCTGAAACGAAGGGCTATTTTCGATCGTTCATCAGAACGACCGGCCCTGAAACTCAGGCACCGAACCAGGGTTTCGGAAACACACTATTATTAGTTTGTTTCCCACGCCAGCCTCAAGCAGGCTGCTGCACGCCAGCCCCTGGCACATTTCGGCATTGGCAAGAGCTGCTTCCTCGGCCTGACTGCCCTCCAGTAGTCAGGAGGCAGGCCGAGGTAGTACATAGGACTTCCCAGGCACTTCCGAGGTAGGCAGTTGGTAGTTGTAGTCTTCAGGATTCGGGTGCAGCACTCTGGAGGGAGCGCTGCATTGTAGTAGTAGTAGCGTTAGCTAGTAGTCTTCAGCGCTGGGCGCAGTAGGTAGCTGTAGTCTCCAGCGCTGGGCGTCATAGCTAGGTAGTACTAGAGAGAGAGAGAGAGAGAGCTTGGGCGGAGGCCAGAGGTACCTACCTGCAGCGTCGTTGCTCCAGCTTCGTCTTCGAGGTACCTGCAGCATAGCGCCAACATCACAGGTTAGTACTTGGTTCGTAACAGAGAGAGAGGGAGAGTTCTTCTTCTTCTTCCTCTCAGTCCACCATCTCTTCTCACCTCTGACTTCACTGCATCTGCAGACTATGAGAGAAGAGATACAGAGCTTGGTGACATTTGATCCAGACTCGACTTTCGGGGATTCAGACATGGCAACGAGGGACTATTTGGGATTGGTGACCAAGACTTGGTGTTAACGACATTCCCATCTTCTTCCCTCCTTTCGTCTGCCCCTTATCTCTTCGTCTGTGTATGTCTGGACCTGGCGCTTTCTTCCTGTGTGCAGCGCCAGGCTCCTTCACACTTCGTGATGGATACAATGCATGTTAGTCTGAGTTCAAACATTGATTGGGCTAGTTAGAGGTACTCTAGCATTCTGCTTCGTTACTCTGAACTACGTGAATGAGGTCAGTCCTGTCAGGCCAGTCTTTGTATCAAAGTCTTCCCTGCGCTCTTCAACGTCTTTATGTATGAATGAGAATGCACATTGCTTGTCGAGATTCTACTCGTACCGCATTGTCTATTTAGTCATTTTCATCACATTGCAGATTCTCGGTTTATTACGTACATTGCATATCTGTGCATGTAACACAGACTACATCAAGGACGTAGTCTGTACCTTCTCCTATGGAGGAGGAGAGCTTAACCAGAAGATCTCGTTCTTGGTTAGCGACGACTTGCCATTCGAAATGTTGCTAGGCATTTACTACCTCGAAGTTGCTAAGCCCCAGTTTGACTGGGATAAGAAGGTGCTCAAGCAAAAGTTGCCCGATGGCTGAACTGTCAGATTGACTAAGTTCAAGGCCAGCAGTATAGTAGATACCTATGGCTGCTTGTGTGCATCAGCGTTCTACAATTACTATAAACAGAACCAAGAGGAGGGTATGTACCTTGTTTATGTCTCTGAGAAGGGGGAGGCCGCTAAAACACCCCCAGAGATAGACAGCGTCGTTGCTAAGTTCCCTGATCTGTTCGAGGAGCCCTCAGGAGTTGTTGATAGGGAAGTCGTCCACGCTATAGAAATCATTCCAGGGAGTAAGACCCCAAAGGGAAGGATTTATAGGATGGCCCCTGCCAAGTTAGATGAACTTCGGAAGCAACTAAAGGAGCTGACAGAGAAGGGTTGGATTCGGCCTAGTACTTCCCCTTACGGATCACCCGTTCTGTTCGTACCGAAGAAGGGGGGTACTTTGAGGATGTGCATTGATTATAGGGGCCTCAATGCCATCACAGTGAAAAACGCAGAGCCTCTACCTCGCATAGACGACCTATTGGATAGGGTGCAGGGATGCAAGTACTATACAAAGATAGACTTGAAATCCGGATATCACCAGATCGCAATAAGACCTGAGGACCAACACAAGACAACTTTTCAGACTAGATACGGTCTGTATGAGTTTGTAGTGATGCCTTTCGGTCTTTGCAATGCGCSGGGTACATYCCAGCACGCTATGAATCGGATCTTCCATGACCATTTAGATAAGTTTGTCGTGGYCTACCTAGACGACATTCTGATCTTTAGTAAGTCTGTCGAGGAGCATGCACAGCATGTTGAGACGGTACTTTCACTCCTTCGACAGCACAAGTATAAGGTCAACTTAGAGAAGTGCGAGTTTGGTCGCACTAAGATACTATACTTGGGTCATGAAGTATCCGCGGAAGGGATTTAAAACTTGTTATTTCTGAACTTACAGGAGAACCGAAATTTTTGCAGCTTCCTCAAAAGAAGCAAGTTTCTGCCTCCCGTAGCCATAGTCAGGGTCTAATTGAGTGGGATCCAGGTTCTTCTGCTCACCTAGAGTCTCATGAGTCTCAAGAGTTTCACGACAAACGAGAATTGTTGGATGAGTCATCCCAAGAAGTGGATCTCACTACAGACTTGCCTATCAGTGCCAACTCGCATAAGGTTGGTTTAACAATCTCCTCCCTTACTCCCGCATTTGGTATTGATTCTGAGCTCACAAGCAAGCGGCAAAGGCTGAAGCATCGTTTGGCTAAGGGGCAAGGGGTTTTGTCTCCGATGAAAGTAGGAATTGCCATTATGCCAGTCAGACTCCAAGGGGAATCATGGGAGGTAGGGTTATCCGAACTTCCCGGAGCAGTTTATGGTGAAGTAACTATCCTGGGTTCCTCATCACCTCTCTTCTCCCCCTCCCCCGCTTCTGCACTAGTGCTTGGTCAACCTTGCTTACAGAAGGAAGTGGTGGATTTTGTTAAGGCAAATTTCTCTGGGGTACTGACAATTCTATCCATCACTGAAGGCGATCAGAGAATGGCTGATTGGGATATATATTTGAAATTTGATGTTAACAAGAACTCAGATCTCAGATGGTTCAATCAGGAATCCCTAGGTGAGCTACAACTCCTCAAAGTCAAGGCAAACAACTTCTGGTCAGAGACTGACGTTGGCACTCTCTTGGTTAGATTGTTGGGACATAAGACCCTTGTTAAGGGGGGTCTGCTGGACTCTGGCCAATGGCAGGAATGGTCCTAAGCTCTCACTCCCCCAGTCCTAGATTCTGCATACTGCTTTTGATTAAGATTATATGGAGAACTTTAAGATAATTGATGCATTATACAATAAAGACAAGTCTTGGACGTTATTAAGAAGGAATGCAGATATAGACCTCAGATCAATGAATGTTAATGGTCTTGCTTCAGGTAAGTTCGAAAAGAAAAGAGTTATCTTTAACCAGTTAAAGGGTGTAGGTGGGAAGGAGTGGCCTGATGTGATATGCATACAAGAAA